AGCACATTTCTAGCCTTCAGGGTTGAGTACTGGCCCTGCAGGATCTTCATTACAGCTCCATTGCCTGCCTGTGGCTAGGTTAATTCCATCCTACCCACCTTTGTTTAATTCCTCTCTACAAGCCCATTATTTGGGTGTTGTGCATTGATAGAGAATTCTGCTAAATTGAGTGTCTTGAGCTCTGGGATGAAATAACTTCTCACTAGACTGTAAAACTTCAAAATAAGTCTAGACTTGGCAAGTTTAACTTCTTCTTTTCGAGAAGGCTCATTCTGGTTTAATTCTTAAAGCATTTCATTTGTTGGGAACTTTGCCATGGGCAGCATCATGAATTAAAATCTCATACATAAGTTCTATGATTGTCTAGAACTCTTCTCATCCAGAAGGGTCCCAAATGCCCTATTCATAAGGGGTGTCTACACTTGTGGCAGTGTGTAGAGTACAGAAATTGCACACCCAGCTAGCCACAGGTCTGAATAGCAGTGCAGACAGTGATGCACTGCCTTGCTGAGTAGAGTACAGACACGCTAGAACCCTAGGGCAGGTGTAGGCAACCTATGGCACGCGTGCCGAAGGCGGCACGCGAGCTGACTTTCAGTGGCACTCACGCTGCCCGGGTCCTGGCCACCTGTCCAGGGGGCTCTGCATTTTAACTTAATTTTAAATGAAGCTTCTTAAACATTTTAAAAACCTTATTTACTTTACATACAACAATAGTTTAGTTATATATTATAGACTTATAGAAAGAGAACTAAAAATGTTAAAATGTATTACTGGCACACGAAACCTTAAATTAGAGTGAATAAATAAAGACTCGGCACACCACGTCTGAAAGGTTGCCGACCCCTGCCCTAGGGTATATATCCTACACAGCTCTCTACCTGCCCAAGCAGTGACTTCCCATATCTACGCTGCTGTTTTTAGCAGTGTAGTGTCCCACTGCTGGAGCCTCCCCCCCCACCCCATCCTGATTTTTCACACTGACTATCTGGTCACCCTACTTGAACCGTGCTTTTTAGTATGCTTTAGATGCTATATATTTATTTTTATTTTAAGTAAGGTCAGGGGACATACCTCCAAAAGCCAAGCAATTCCAAATTTAACTAATGCCAGCGCTCCCTCCTCCCTGAAGTGTAGGCATCAAGGATGAGCTGCAAGCATTAGGGTCCCAATCCTGCTGCCCTAACATGAGACTATTCCCTTTGGCTTCATTGGGAGGCTTGACTCTTAAGAACCACTAGAAGAGGTATAGATTGGAATTTCTTGTCTTGTTGTATTACTACTTCCAAAACACACAACTTAAATTGAAAATTTTAGGGAGAAATACTTATGGTATAGTGGAAAGAGCAAAATGTTTAATTTCAAAGCACTGTTATCTTCCTGGATTTGTGATCTATTAATAAGCATCTGATTCACGACGGGGGGGGGGGGTCACTTTGTCTACATGTTTTATTTCCTTTCTCTTCATTTCCCCCCCCCATCTCCTTTTAAATTATTTCTCAGGCTATTCCTGCCAGCTTAAATTGGTCTTCAAAATGAGTACAAAGGGAGTATCTCTCTTCCATTGTAGTGGCTACACTTTTAATGTTAAGATCTCTGTGGCACCAAAAGAAACGTTTCTCTAAGACTTTATGTAAAACACTAGCAAAGGTTCCTATCTGAAGAACAGCTATTTTAAGAGAACCTATATAGGAGTCATAATATCATACACACTTTCTTATTGCAACTCTAAGGAAAGCTACTTTTTTAGTGATATGATCTGACTTTTCAAGCCTTGATCGCATAGGAGTTCATGTCTGACCTTTAATTTTATGGGTCTTAGTATTTTAAATGAGACATTTTGAAAAAGCATGTAATGTAATAAGATCACTTGGATTCAGCTCTCACAAGCTAAGTAAGGATGGCCTGGGTCAGAGCTCTTATGAGAGACCTTCAAAGAGAACCCAGTGTACTGAAGGAAGTGGTAGTAATGCAACTGGATGCAGTCTTCTGAGTTAGTATTGAGCCAGTGACCTGCTGTAGTGTTCAGGTGAACCACTTGATGTACCATCTCTTGGATGAAATGAGGTCCTGATGTATTGTCTCTAGAGATGATCTGGGTTTTCACAGGAATAGGGAAGTTAACTCTTTTGTCTTGGTCAAATTCCAGTTGGTATCTAAGTCCCAGAGAGCATCTTTCTTTCTGATAAACATGTGGAGGGGAGAGTGAGATTTCAGTTGATATTTTAAAACCACATGTTCTCTACTACCGCCTTCCTAATCCACTTGGACCTTTGTTTGCCTAGCCCCAGCAATTTACAAATTATTCCACTTCCTGTCCTAAAATTATATTGGGTAGTGTTCTAGGTTAAACAGCTGCCACCTTCCACTCGAGAGATGGCTGCACTTCAGTGGCATGCTGAGTGATATGTAGGTGTGAGATTTTCTTCTCTGGTTTGAGAGCTCAGCTATCTATTATCCTATAAAGATGTGCTGTAAAGCAAATAATTCCTCTTTATGATGTACAAAAGCAACTTACAAAAACGCAAGTTATTTTTCTACTTTTTATATTAGAAAAGTAAGTCCTGACTTGTGCCTTTTTCTCTTCCCTTCCCTCCCCTCCCCTTGAGGATTTTGGCAATCTTTGGATGGCCTGAATTGTGACATGACTGCTGGAGGCTGAAACTAAGATGGTCGCTGTCCAAACTCTTAGTACTATAGGAGGAGGTGAAGGGTGTTGAGTATTAGGCTGGGAAAGCTTCAGCTCAGATTTCCACACCCACATGCAATATCCCAGTCCAGGTCCTCCCAAAGATTGCCACCTTTCACCAGGCCCTAACCTGTTTTGACCATAAAAATAGCACGTAGAAAACCTTTT